TAATTAAAATAACAACGAGGGTGGATTCTACCACGGTTTGCTGGCCTCCCGGTTTACCACACGCGTTGGTGAGCCTGAATGTTTATAGCATCAAGTAGTGTTAAGACGTGCATTAAATGTCGATTGTCGAGCTCTCTTTTCTTTTCTGGTTCGCGCTTACTTTTCAATGAGAATTTAACTGCAAAGGCTCTTTGAACATTGCTGGTTCTGCAATCGACCCACGAGGATGATCTTCAGTTCGTCTTTAACTCAGATGATTTTTATCAATTGCAATTTTCTGAATGAAGTTTCTTTTAGTAATTAGTTGAAGTATTGGTTTAGAATGATCTTAAGGTGTTCTTTAGAAATCGAAATCAGGTACAGATCACATAAAACCTATTATCACAAGGATTACGATGAGGTACGTGCGAAGTGAAGACTAAATTTCCTTTGAAGATGATGTAAATGTTGTTTAAAAAAAGCTCACACCCATTCCGCATGAGATCGAGGCTAAAGAAATTTCCCAGAAAAATGGCGTCCTTTCTCTTTCTACAAGCGACTAAATACAGGAATGGCTCCGACCTGTGATTGGATGATAAAAATAGTAAACGTTAATAAGTTATAGCTTAACTCCTTGCTCGTGAGTATTGTTTAGGTCTAGGGGGGTTGTTAGAAATTACCAAGCAAAACCAATCCGCGACTTTCTTCCTTTAGGTGTTGTGCAAAAAAAAAAGAAGAGCCCGATGAATGGATTTGCTCTTCATGTGAACAATAACCTAGAAAATCAGTTTTCCACGAAAAAAACTCCCTCGATTGTGGCCAAGCCTTATTTCTCCAGCAGATCATGCTGTAAATTAAAAACATTGGTCTCAGCGTCACGCAACATTGCGTGATTTTCCAAACGTGGCATGCAGATGCTGCATTATTTTAGAAACTACATGGCCCTGTAGTAATAAAAGAGGGCTTCATTTGCAAGCACTGTAGACTACAACCTAATAAATCACTCTTTCAGTTTTTATCTCAGTGTATAAATTATTTAGCCAGAACAGAAAAAAAATTAATATCCGAATGAGTTGGAGCCATTCCTGTCTGCGGTGAAATACACGAATGGCTCCAGTCTCTGGTCGTCCGCCTAAACTGACTAAATGAGTTTTGTCAGCGGATGACTTTTTCATCGCCGGAATATCACTGAACGATCTCGCTGAAAAAGATAGACTCTGCCTTCTCTTCGTTATGTAAGTAGCCATTTCTTGTTTGACTCATCGGTGTTTTTACATTGGTATTTCATTGTTCCGCTTCGAGACACGCAGTTAACAATACTCACGAGCAACGAGTTAAGATATAACTTATTAACTTTTACTATTTTTATCATCCAATCACAGGTCGGAGCCATTCCTGTATTTAGTCGCTAGTCTCTCTCTTAATCGGGATCAGTGCCTGGTTTGTTTACAGTAAAGGTGAATCGTCGTTCCCTAATACTCGGTACAAAATGGAAGACCCCAGTATTAAGTATATTCTTCTACGCGATCGTGTCGGACACCTACGTGTAAAAAACATGTTTACGCTCGGCCTTACGACGAAGTCTACACCAAAACAAGTTTCGCGAGGTGAGCTGTTAGAAGGTGTTCCTGGGGCTAAACAGCCTGTAGACTCAACTGAAGTAGCTGTTGTTGGAATTGAACGTAAATCATTACGTCTTGAATGTTCTGTGGAGGATGTGACTCGACTATCTGAGGAAGAAACCAACTTGCTTTTAGCAATTACTTTATCTGAAGAAAGGTACCAGACGCATATAGATAGGAAACGTATGGCATTTGGCCGACAATTGTCACAAGGAAGTGCTGTTTTCGTTGAAGTGAAAGGAAATTCAAAGTTCTTGCCTGGTATTGTTCGGTACAAAGGTGTATTACCACCCAGTTTGGGAACTTGGTTTGGAGTTGAACTCATCGTAAGTACTCGTGCACTAGATAAGTCGTGTTTTTGGATGTAACAATTTACATTCTATGTAAATTTCGTTCAGACAGCAACACAACTGAGTAACTATGCATGTAACACCAAGTTAAGCTAGCTTTTACATTTCAAGAGTATTTCAATGTCTTCAATGTCTACCTTCCTAGGAGACTCTTAGACTGAAGGGGAGATTTAATTGATTCATTCAATAGTATATAATAGTAAAACTTCTTTCAAACAGTCATGTGCAAGGTGTCATCTCTATTTAAGAATAATGTCATGTTTTCTGTTAAGATTATATAATCCTGCTTTCTTGATAGTGTGGGGTACATGTATGTGGCAGACTGGATGTTGAACAGTGGGTATGGGATGAAATGTTTCATTGATTATGATGGTAACCATGGTGATGATAATGATGAAAGTCATAGTGATAATTAGTGATGGCAATAATCTTCAATATTGATGATTATGCTCTGTGGTTTAACATATCTAGAATCATCCAGGGTCAGGAACATGTTGTGGAACATTTGGAAACAAGCAATACTTTATTTGTAAGCAAGACTCTGGGGTTTTTGTTGGATTGGACAAGTTGACACCTATAGAAGACGAAGATGACTTGAAATCTTTAAACGTTGCCAAAAAAGACGACACGGACAGCAACACAACTAAGGTACTATGTTACACTGAGTTAAGCTTGCTTTTACATCTCATGAGTATCCATCTCAACGTCTTCTATGTCTACCTCTCATAGGAGATCATTAGACTGAAGGAGAGATTTAAATGAATTATATGCAGTGAAATGTGATTTAATGGAGTTAACAACAAAGCGCCAGTGTTTACTAGTAGTCAATGGTTTTCGCATGAGTGCATGCATGGGAATTCCCTTGTGCTCTGTGTTGGAGGCATTCCTTTGGGCGTGTGCTTGTAGCGTTGCAAGGAGTGGCAGCTCTTCGTCCAGGCAGTTTTTCCCCACCCATTCCCTCCCTCTTTCCATTGTCTACTCAGTGTGACGGGTACCTGTTCTCCTTTCCTGTGTGGGGGCTCATGGCTGGGTTGCCAGGATTTGCCAGCCATGGGAGAGGTCTCTATCTAGGAGCTAGCTGCCAATAGTGGAAGCTCTTGGATGTTTCAGGCACCCAACCTCCAATTAGCAATGCAGTTATTAATCAATAGTATTTAATAGTAAAACTTGCCCTTCAAACAATCATAAGCAAGGTGTCATCTCTATTTAAGAATAATGTCATGTTTTCTGTTAAGATTTTATAATCCTGCTCTCTTGATAGTGTAGTGTACATGTATTTCACACACTGGATGTTGAACAGTGGGTATGGGATAAAATGTTTCATTGATTATGATGGCAACCATAGTGATGATAATGGTGATGATAATGATGAAAGTCATAATGATAGTTAGTGATAACTATAATCTTCAATATTGATGATTATGATCTTTGGTTCAACATATCTAGAATCATCCAGGTTCAGGAACATGCGATGAAACATTGAGAAAGAAGCAATACTTTACCTGTGAGCCAGACTGTGGGATTTTTGTTGGACTGGACAAATTGAGGCCTAGAGAAGATGAAGATGACTTGAAATCTTTAAACATTGCCAAAAAAGACGAAAATATTCAGGATAAACTTATATCAAGTCTTAAGGATTCAATACTGTCATTTTGGAAGATAAAATCAGAGCAAATGTCTTTTCAAGGAATTGATGGAGTGCTTAAGACTGATGAAAGAGTTGTGACCTTTATTAAGGATAGTCCAGCCAGAGGTACTGTGCGATATATTGGAAAGGAGGTTGATTCAGCTGCAAATATTTACATAGTTGTAGGACTAGAACTGGTGGGTATTCTTAATTTTTGATTTGATTGAACATGTCTTTGTAGATGTAAAGTACTGCTCAATAGTAAGTTTACAATCTTGACTCAAAACTATTGATAATCCAGGATCAAGAACAGAAGTAAGAATATCAAGAATTATGAAGCTAGATGCTTGAACAACCTTGTGGACATCTTGATCTGCAATTTTGAGGAAACTATTCAATTAATTCTACAAGCTAGAATTACAAAGTGAGATGCTTGGACAAGGTTGTGAGCATCTTGATCCACAATTTTTAGGAAACTATTCAATGTATTCTTGAACACAAAACAATAGTGAAGGACAAAGCACTTGACATGTGGCTTCATGACACAGAAGCAGCTTGCATGTATGCAAATATTTCTTTTAAACAAAGCAGGAGCTCAAATCAAGCCACTCTCTAGCTCTTCTCATTCTAAAATAGGAAGCGATCGCATGAATATTCACAACTATTGTTTTAAAAAAATTTAAGTTTGGGTGCCAGGAGTGACATCAGTTTTAGTTGGTTTCAGAACCACCCAGAAATCTACAACTGATCAATAAAAGTTTAAAGAAATATTCCCACTGAAACTGTGATTTGTAGCATTCAGTAATATTGTGTTCCTTCTGGTTAATGACACTTCAAGATGAAAGTTGATGATCTCCAGCTATAATTCTTGTAAATATAGTGTAAATTGAAGATATGTAGATAAATTGCAATCCATTGATCGAATGAAATGAATCACCTAATAAGCCATTATATTCCAACTTTCTTTCCTCTATCAGGATGAAAGCATGGGTTCTGGCTGTGGTGAAAGATTTGGCTCTCTAAAATTTCTTTGTAAGAGAGATTATGCAGCATTTGTACCATTGAAAACTGTCATACCAGAGAAGGACTTTGACGGTCATCGTGAAAAAGCTGCAAGACAAGAAACTCTGGGAAAGTGGGAGCAAATTCATGATGATGAAATGTATGCAAGATCAATGAGCTGTGTTAATGTACCATCAGGTAGGAAATGATTTGAGATCTCAGTTGCTTTATAAATTTTTTATTCACGTAGTCGAGCACACCATGCATAATGAAGCAGAATTGTACTATGTGAACTGAAGTCTCTTTCACTCAATTCCCTTTAAACATTTAGATGCGTAGGAATTGTCTTTTTGGTTAAGAAAAAAAATTGTATGTAGTTTTTGCCATGGACTTATCGAAACACTGAATCTTTAGGTGAATGGTGACACAAGACATGTTCCAATCATGGGCTTGAGAGAATTCAACGAGGGAACAAAAATAGATTTTCCACTTCCCGCTAGGCAGAGTGTCTAATATTTACAATTAATTGTAGATTTCTCATCTTGTGAACAGACCAGCAACTGACAGAGAAAGAGGAGCAAGAAGGAAATGGTCACAGGCTGGTGAGAGAACCGATGGAGCAGGTGACACATTTGCAAGCAGAAATACCACCATCTGAGGAAGAAACCAACTCACTTTTTGCAACTACTTTATCTGAAGGAAGGTACGAAACATATGTGGCTAGGAAACCTATGGCATTTGGCAGACAATTGTCACCTGGAAATGCTGTTTTCGTTGAAGTGAAAGGACATTCAAATGTTTTGCCTGGTATTGTGCGTTACAAAGGTGTATTACCACCCTGTCTGGGAACTTGGTTTGGAGTTGAACTCATTGTAAGTACTCGTGCACTATTTATGTACATTAAGTCGCATTGCTGGCTGTAACAATTCACAAATGCTATGTAAATTTCACACAGACAGCAACACAACTAAGGTACTATGAGTTAAGCTTGCTTTTACATCTCATGAGTATCTCAACGTCTTCTATGTCTACCTCTCATAGGAGACCATTAGACTGAATGAGAGATTTAAATGAATTATATGCAGTGAAATGTGAAAAAGCGCCAGTGTTTACTAGTAGTCAATGGTTTTCGCATGTGTGCATGCACGGGAATTCCCTTGTGCTCTGCGTTGGAGGCGTTCCTTTGGGCGTGTGCTCGTAGCATTGCAAGGAGTGGCAGCTCTTTGTCCAGGTAGTTCATCTTTGTTTAGCTCCCAGGGTGCCATGAACACAGCACCTCCCACCATCGGTCAGTCTTTTGTGCTGGCATTCTCTATTGGGTCTGTTCATTCATCTACTGTTTCGCCAGGGATCCCGTCTTCTCTGAACATGCCTTTTGTGGTTGGCCCAGGTTTTTCTCCCATCCCAGAGAAGCTGGTCATCAAGATCAGGTCAGGGCAATTTGTTGGTACAGCCGACCAGCTAGGCGACAACCTGAAGGCTCTGGAAGTGGAGCCCAAACTTATCGTGACAGCAAACTTTTGGTGATTTTATCAAAGAAACGGATACAAGAGATCACTGACATTGTAACATGGGTGGAGGCCGTCATGGTCTACATGTGGATTTTATGTTGCACACACCCTTCCAGATGGCAGGACATGACGCAGTACAAGCTTCTGATTATGAAGACCTCTCGCCAGTTCCCCGGCAAGGCCTGGCTTCACTATGACACTGCCTTTTGGAAGGATGCAGCTGCATGTGGCCTGGCAGACTAGTCATATATGAACCTCGACCTGTACAATTTCCATACTCGTTTGGTGCCACAGTCCCAGCCATCAGCCGCATCTTCTCCATTCCCTAACTCAGTCAACCCTTCATCCAACTTCTGCTGATCATGGAATGATGGCACCTGTCGCTGGCCCTTTGGTCAATTTTGGTACTGCCACTGCCGTGATAAATGTGAAGGGGACCACCCTCGTGTCAACTGCCCCTTTTGTGCCTCCAAATCGTACGAGCAGCACACCCAAGCAACGACCCCATCTCAGTACAAACACCGGCAGCGTTGAGGCAGTCTCTGGATCACCCAAGGCCCCTTACCTTACAACTGATGTAAATAGTGTAGAGTTCTCTCATTCCGTTTCAGTTTCAAGCAGTTCCTATTCTGTTCTGGTTAATGTTGTTGTTTCTTTGGCATCAAATACACTTTGTTGTGGCCAATTTCGTGTAAATGAGGCGCCTCTCTCCTCCACCACAGGGCATTTCATTACTGGTGCTGTTCAGCAAGAGTTGGTCCCTCCTTTTTAGAGGCACACCCATTGATGCAGACAAACTGCAGTGGGAACTTTGTTTTCACCCTGATCAACAAAAAGTGTATTTTGTGATTTCTGGTATTACTAGTGGTTTTCATCTTGGCTTAGATCCTTTGGCAGCATCGTTGAAGTCTGTGACCCAGAATATGACATCAGCATCACTTCACCCTGCTGTGATCGATCAGTATCTCCTCACAGAACTACAGAAAGGTCGTGTAGCTGGCCACCTCTCTATGTCTCCAATTCCAAACCTTCATGTTAGTCACTTTGGAGTGATCCCAAAGAAGTAACAACCTGGAAAGTTTCCCACTAGGCCACAGCGTCAACGACGGCATCCCCAAGGAGCTTCTCTCTTTACAGTACATGAAAGTAGATGATGTCATCAGGGGGATCATGTCTTATGGCTAAGGAACACTCATGGCAAAGTTTGATGTGGAAAGTGCGTACCGCAATGTCCCTGTCTATTCAAATGATTGTTATTTGCTCAGCATGAAGTGGCAAGGCAAGTATTTCATTGATTTGGCTCTTCCCTTTGGATTACGCTCTGCCCCATTCATCTTCTCTTCTGTTGCGGACCTGCTAGAGTGGATTGACTTCCATACATTGGGTCCCCCCAACTCACTTGTCTGCTATAACAACTTGGGTTTGTGCATTTGCCTCTTTGGGGACTGGGGTATCCCCCTTCACCCAGATAAACTGGAGGGGCTGTCCACTTCTTAACAGTGCTTGGTATTGAGCTGGATTCACTTGCCCTTCACTCTGGCTCTTCTTCCATGGGACAAGTTTGAACACATCATTACCTTGTTGGATACTTGGTCTTCCAAACAGTACTGTTTAAGAAAAGAACTGGAATCTCTCATTGGCAATCTCCAACACGCTTTTAAATTCATTCCTCAAGGCCGTACCTTTTTACGGCGTATGATCAACTTATTATCAACGTTCTGGCGGAATGACCACCTCATAAGGGTTAAACGGGAATTCTGTTTAGACCTCTTGTGGTGTCGTGAATTCTTCTATTCTTGGCATGGCCTCAGTTTTCTGTTCTACCCCAATTGGGCTCCACTACCTGAGTTTTGTTTTTCCTCTGATCTGGCTGGAGCCCAGGGTTATGGTGCACTCTTTGACCATGAATGGTTTGTGGGGAAATGGTGGGCCTCTCAGCTGCCATTATCAAGAGCATACGATGAGCTCTTCCCAGTGGTCATCTCAGCTGCTTTGTGGGGTCATTGATGGGCCACGAAACGAGTTGAATTTCATTCATACAATATGGCCGTTGGCGGCGTCCTGCATTCGGGCACCTCAAAAGATCCTAACATGATGGTTCTTCTTTGCCACCTGTCCCTCTCAGCAGCCCGTCATTCCTTTGCCTTTACGGCCTCTCATACAGCCGGTAGAGACAATTCCATTGCTGACGCCTTATCTGCTTTTGATTTCCAGCATTTCCATCATCCAGCTCCACACGCACCTGTGGCTACCCCCGTCCCACTGTCTCTATTGGCCCAGCTTCCGTGACTTGCCAGTAAAATGCCAGGTCTACCTATCCAATGGTCTTGCACCCTCCACTCAGCAAGTCTATAACTCTGAACACCAGTTCCTCGCCTTCTGTAGTCAGGGTACTCCTAGCAATTTATGTCATCCCCTTCTACCTGCTAGCAAACAAACATTGATGCGCTTCTGTGCACACCTTGCAGATCACCTTCATCACTCCTCTATTAAAGTTTATCTGTCTGCTGTTCGTTCCTCACTTATTGACTATGGATTTCCTGACCCACTCACCAACTGTCTTCAGCTACAGCGGCTCTAAAGAGGCATTAAACAACATCAGGGTTCCAATCCCCCTCAGCGTCAACCCGTGACTGCAGACCTTTTGGCTATTGTGCACAAGTCCTTGGACTCCTCTACCCCCGACAATGTCATGCTGTGGGTGGCTTGTTCCTTGGGCTTCTTTGGGTTGCTCAGAGCTGGTGAGTTTACAATGAATGGTCCTTTCAACCCTTCAGTGCATTTGACAGTAGCAGATCTGCAGGTTGACTCCTCGACAAATCCTCAAAGTTTCAGGGTGTTCATTAAATGCGAAAAGAGGGACGCTTTCCAGTAGGGCTGTTTTGTTGTCCTTAGGCGTAGCTCCACATCTCTCTGTCCTGTGTCTTTATTTATCAGGATGGCTGTCCTCTTTTTCATGCCCATCTATCTTCGTTCTGACAATCGACACTACAGGCAGCAGACATTCTGAGGAAAGTTCTCTGGTCACAGCTTTAGAATTGAAGCTGCAACTAAAGCTGCTCAGCGGGGCATTCTCGACCACCTCATCAAAACCATGGGACACTGGTCAATTGAAGCACATTTATTGTATGTGCGCACACCTGTGGATAGCATCTTCTCTGTAGCAGAACGAATTTCATTGCAGGTATGATACTCATAATTTCTCTCTTCCACCGCTCAGTGGGTGCCGTCAGATTTATCAAGTTTTCTTGGGGCCTCCCATTGCCATGAGCCCCATTTCTCCAAGCTGACTGCACTCAGCTTAAAGGTCCTCTGGCTTGGCACAGGGGCTCATAGCTGGCTTGCCAGGATTTGCCAGCCGTGGGAGAAGTCTCCATCTTGGAGCTGGCTGCCAATGGTAAAAGCTCCTAGATGTTTCAGGCACCCAACCTCCAATTAGCGATGCAGTTGTTTAATGCGGTTATATGCAATTTAACAGAGTTGTTAACAACATAGAGCATCAGTGTTTTTCTAGTGGTCGGCAGTTTTTGCATACGCGCATACGCGGGAATTCCCATGTGCCCTGTGTTAGAGGCGTTCTTGCGTGTGCTTGTAGCGTTGCAAGGAGTGGCAGCTCTTCGTCCAGGCAGTTTTTCCCCACCCATTCCCTCCCTCTTTCCATTGTCTACTCAGTGTGACGGGTACCTGTTCCCCTTTCCTGTGTGGGGGCTCATGGCTGGGTTGCCAGGATTTGCCAGCCATGGGAGAGGTCTCCATCTAGGAGCTGGCTGCCAATAGTGGAAGCTCCTGGATGTTTCAGGCACCCAACCTCCAATTAGCAATGCAGTTATTAATCAATAGTATTTAATAGTAAAACTTGCCCTTCAAACAATTATAAGCAAGGTGTCATCTCTATTTAGGAATAATGTCATGTTTTCTGTTAAGATTTTATAATCCTGCTCCCTTGATAGTGTGGTGCACATGTATTTCACACACTGGATGTTGAACAGTGGGTATGGGATAAAATGTTTCATTGATTATGATGGCAACCATAGTGATGATAATGGTGATGATAATGATGAAAGTCATAATGATAGTTAGTGATAACTATAATCTTCAATATTGATGATTATGATCTTTGGTTCAACATATCTAGAATCATCCAGGTTCAGGAACATGCGATGGAACATTTAGAAAGAAGCGATACTTTACCTGTGAGCCAGACTGTGGGATTTTTGTTGGACTGGACAAATTGAGGCCTAGAGAAGATGGAGATGACTTGAAATCTTTAAACATTGCCAAAAAAGACGAAAATATTCAGGATAAACTTATATCAAGTCTTAAGGATTCAATACTGTCATTTTGGAAGATAAAATCAGAGCAAATGTCTTTTCAAGGAATTGATGGAGTGCTTAAGACTGATGAAAGAGTTGTGACCTTTATTAAGGATAGTCCAGCCAGAGGTACTGTGCGATATATTGGAAAGGAGGTTGATTCAGCTGCAAATATTTACATAGTTGTAGGACTAGAACTGGTGGGTATTCTTCATTTTTGACTTGATTGTACATGTCTTTGTAGATGTAAAGTACTGCTCAATAGTAAGTTTACAATCTTGACTCAAAACTATTGATAATCCAGGATCAAGAACTCAAGCTTGAATATTGAGAATTACGAAGCGAGATGCTTGAACAACCTTGTGGACATCTTGATCTGCAATTTTGAGGAAATTATTCAATTAATTCCAAAAGTTAGAATATCAAGAATTAAGAAGCGAGATGCTTGAACAAGGTTGTGAACATCTTGATCCAAAATTTTGAGGAAACTTCAAATTCAATTTATTCTTGAACACAAAACAATAGTGAAGTACAAAGCGCTTGACATGTGGCTTCATGACACAGAAGCAGCTTGCATTTATGCAAATATTTTCTTTTTAAACAAAGCAGGAGCTCAAATCAAGCCACTCTCTAGCTCTTCTCATTCTAAAATAGAAAGCGATCGCATGAATATTCACAACTATTGTTTTAAAAAAATTTAAGTTTGGGTGCCAGGAGTGACATCAGTTTTAGTTGGTTTCAGAACCACCCAGAAATCCACAACTGGTCGATAAAAGTTTAAAGAAACATTCTCACTGAAACTGTGATTTGTAGTATTCAGTAATGTTGTGACACTTCAAGATGAAAGTTGATGATCTACAGCTGTAATTCTTGCAAATATAGTATTAATCGAAGATATGTAGATAAATAGCAATCAATTGATTGAATGAAATGAATCACCTAATAAGCCATTATATTTCAACTTTCTTTCCTCCATCAGGATGAACGAGTGGGTTCTGGCTGTGGTAAGAGATTTGGCTTTCAAAAGTTTGTTTGTAAGAGAGATTATGCAGCATTTGTACCATTGAAGACTGTCATACCAGAGAAGGACTTTGACGGTCATCGTGAAAAAGCTGCAAGACAAGAAACTCGGGGAAAGCGGGAGCAAATTCATGATGATCAAATGTTTGCAAGATCAATGAGCTGTGTTAATGTACCATCAGGTAGAAAAATGATTTGAGATCTCAGTTGCTATATAAATTTTTTATTCCCGTAGTCGAGCACATCATATAGATCTGTAGCAGAATCGTAATATGTGAACTGATGTCTCTTTCACCCAATTCCCTTAAAGCATTTAGATTCTTAGGAATTGTCTTTTTGGTTAAGAAAAAATTTTTATGTAATTGAAACATTTCATTTTTGCCGTGGACTTATCAAAACACTGAATCTTTAGGTGAATGGTGACACAAGACGTGTTCCGATCATGGGCTCAGGAGAATTCAATTATGGAACAAATATAGATTTTCCACTTCCTGCCAGGCAGAATTTCTAATATTTACAATAAATAGTAGATTTCTCATCTTGTCAACAGACCAGCGACTGACGGAGAAGGAGGAGTCACGTGAATATCAGCGACAACTGGAAGATGTAACCCAGCAATTGACGATTGTCCAAGGGAAGCTACAAGAGAAATATGAAGAAACTGCTAATTTACAGAACCAAGCTACTGCCTTAAGGCAACAACTGAATGAAAAAGACCAGGAAATGAATGAATCGGAAACAACTCTGTCCATAGCTCTGGACGAGTTAAGTGAACATCAACGACAACTGAGAGATGTAACCCAGCAAATGACGATTGTCCGAGGGCAGCTACAAGTTAAAGATGAAGAAACTGCTAATTTACAGAACGAAGCTACTGCCTTAAGGCAACAACTGGAGGAAAAAGACCAGGAAATGAATGAATTGGAAACAACTCTGTCCACAGCTCAGAATGAGTTACGTGAACATCAACAACAACTAAGAGATGTAACCCAGCAAATGACGATTGTCCGAGGGCAGCTACAAGAGAAATATGAAGAAACTGCTAATTTACAGAACCAAGCTACTGCCTTAAGGCAACAACTGGAGGAAAAAGACCAGGAAATGAATGAATTGGAAACAACCCTGTCCACAGCACAGGATGAGTTACGTGAACATCAACGACAGCAGTCCCCTGAATGGGTCATTCCGCGGGATCACATTAAGCTGACAAGTAAATTTCTCGGCAAAGGAGGCTGGGGAATTGTTGTCGAAGGCAAATATTGTGGTTGTTCTGTTGCAGTGAAACAGATCCATGAGTTGATTCGCTCTCCTCACAACCGCAAATTATTTGAGCGAGAAATGGATATTGCATCAAGATGCCGCCATCCTTGCTTGCTGCAGTTCATCGGAGCTACAAACGACGAAGAGAATCCATTGTTTGTAACAGAGCTCATGGAAACAAGTTTACGAACTCTGTTGGAACAGAGACTTCTCTCTGAGGCTAAAATGTCTGTTATTTCCCTGGATGTAGCTCGGGCGCTAAACTACCTTCACAAAAAGCAACCAATTCCTATTATTCACCGCGACATCAGCAGTGCAAATGTGCTACTTTGGAGACAGGGTGAACATTGGCGAGGCAAAGTGTCAGATTATGGAACTGCCAACTTTATGCAGCAGACCATGACAATTGCTCCTGGTGCCCTGACATACAGTGCCCCTGAAGCATTTACTAAAAATCAAACCGTCAAGGTTAGCTGTAATTTGTTTACTATATATATATGTGTGCATTTCACGTGCATGTAATTGTATGAATCACCTTAAACTCAAGGTAACGTACATTAATATTTATTGTTAATATCACTAGAAGGTCAGGGCTTTTTTATTTTGTCGACATAAAATAGACAGTATGCGTAAATGACAGGCCGGATTGGTATTATATTGTACTTATGTATATTAGTTTAACTAGTCTGATCTTTGAGTTAAGGTTTTAATTGTTCCTAAGACATACTGACAATGCTAGTTGGGCTAATTTACATGAATACAAAAGAATACTAATCAAGTGTGCCTTGGGGTCTATGAAATCAAGCATTATCGCTTATCTCGAGATAGATATGCATCGAGACATTTTGACTCATTAGACACAAGAAACTTTAGTGCAGTGCTGTATTTTCTTTTATTTCCTTACCTTATCTTGTTCAGGTTGATGTGTACAGTTTCGGTGTCCTCCTCTGTGAGATGTACATCCAAGAATTTCCAGATCAACGAAGGCGTGATCGGCAAGTCGCTAGGGTTAAAAACAAACTAAATCGAGCCCTTATCCGGAAATGTTTGCAATCAGAGCCTGAGGCGAGACCAAGCATACAGGAGATCATCGATGAACTTGAGGAACGTATTTAAAATAAGTTTGGTCAGTTTTGCTTTTAACGGAATTAACGTAATTCTGCTATTACTAATGTAATTGTAATGGTACGTATGCTACGAAGTGACATCTTGTGTATTTGCCTTCCCCCCCCCCTGCCCCACAATAAGACATGATTAATTCATAATTTAGAATGAGAGGAAGGCATGAAACTCCAAAGGAATGGAAAATGATAAGTTTTATGATTTATTTTGTTGCGCAGTTCTACAAAAAGCCCTCCCACCTTGATTAAAATCTTGAAAGAAGACCCTTGTCGTATTTTTGGTAAGGTTTGAAATTAGGGGGATGTCATTTTATATTACCCCAATTCTAGCTGAACCAATTTCGGCATATGTTTGATTCAGTAGCGTGCAATTGGTTTTTTGAACAAAATGTGCTTTTCAGTAGTCCACAGACTAAATTTACATCGAAATAGTATACGGGGAATTTATGGGAAAATGTTCTCTTGATTGTGCAGCGAACCGTATCGATCAGTTTCTTATCGTGTGACTGGTTCTTGCGTCAGCGTGTATTTCTCAAGTTATGAAGTGAGCAGGTAGTTTTGAGAGCACAAATGATGAGTAAAGGTTGCCTGAGGCGCAGCCAAGAACGACTTTATCTTATTGAGTGCTTTCGAAACTTTCAAAGGACTTTTTATCTCGATGAACGCACAGCCACACATAAGCCAAGCTTTTTAAACATTTATGCAACGCACTAGTTAAAGTGCTTTGTAAAGAAGAATTCGATCTGCTGCACTTCCTGCTTACTTACAGTCGAATAGCATACAGAGTGGGAATACGTAGCTTGCCAGTTCAATAAATCATGACTTAGATACGTCCTTAATACGCAAAATAAATATTTCGCTTGCATTACGTTTGAAATAGCGAAATAGCTATATGATCTTGTAAAGGCGTGCACAGACCTTTACTTCTGAGCCATCTCGCGAAGTGAATTCTTTACCTTTAAAGACCTCTTTATTAAATTTTAAAACAGGTGTATTGCGCTACAAAGACTTGACAGTTCCAGTTCAAATTCCCTACCCCATCCAGGCAAGGTTCAAATTCTTCACCCCCAGGCATACACAACAGATAGGGATCATAATAGGCCAGCGAAACGAGGTCAAGTGATAGGCTATCTTGAAGGTTGATTAATATTCAAGAAATTTTATTTAAAGATAACGAGTTTTTACGGTTTGTATTACAAAGTGGTAACTTCTGGTGTGGATCGCGAAATTTCGACCGCATGCTCAGCTGCTAGTCTTCCTCAGGCGATGAGTACGAATGTGATTGCTTAGTTTTCTAACTTTGTAACTTACGAATTTCGATTATCTTTCTTTCAGCTCTGCGCTGTCGCAGGGTTTCCCTTCTGTAGGGTTCTTATCTTCTTCTCATTTTGATACAAGGTAGTTTTATTCTCATTTTATAGAATTAGTTTAAAATTAGAAATTTATTTATCAACTGAGACAGGCTCCAACTGTTATTATTATTTCAGAGATGTGTCTGTTGATCGTGCAGTCTGATCGTTTGGGTGAGAGTAGTGCTGAAAAGGACAGCTCGTTGTGACAGTGAATGACATACGGCAACCTTAGTAGAAAACTCCGTTGATGACTTGCGCTAAGGTTGTCGAAACGGCAGTCACTTGTACCGACAACAGACCTTTTCAGAACTAGATGGGGTAAGTTTCTGAAAAGACCGGTGCTGCGTCGGTGGCGACAATATCAGAAAATTTGGTTTTTGTCAGCTTTAGAAAATCTTTACAGCGGCCAATTTTCATTATCAACGCGGTTGATCAAACCACATTATCTTGTGATATCCCCCAGCGACGCAGCATCACAGTTTATAACAACTTACACCATCATATATTTGAACTGCGGTTTAAGACGTGAATATGAAAGCGATCTTCGCAGTAATGAACACTACTTATACAGTAGTGAAAAGAAGGCTTGAAAAAAATTCATCACCAAGTTATTGCACATGACCCCGAGTTGCTTAAATCAGTCCGTGAAGCAGGGATTAGAATTCCATTTATTCTCTTTCATAAATCTGGTATGACAAAAGAACTTCATAATTTTATTTCAAGCAGTATTCAAGCTGGGCTCTGTATACAGGACATTGAGAGCATGCTTTTAAATTTGTACAGTTCCCATCACAGCAGCAGAGCCTACTTGTATTATTCTCAAGCCACATTGTCCATGGATAGTTATGAACAGTGTAATTTTCCGCTTCGCAGTGCAATACGTACAGTGCATAGTGTATTTTGAGCAGTGAAACAATTAAGGCGATCTGAAACAATCACTTTGGCCTTCAGGAATAGTAATGCATAACTTAAAGAAAACAGAAAGTAATTTAAGCTTAAGCTTTAGTACTTCATTATTTTCTTTCAATGTGAATTGTATAAGCTCGTTAATTTACAGTGTATGTTCCATTTTATGAGTATGATGTTCAAAGTCCAAAAATAAATCGCGAAGGAAGGTCATAAAGAAAAAAAGAAAGCGAGAGCTTTAAACTAGGTAATGTTCACTCCACATTTTTTCAAAATTTTGCATTACACTGTGCTTTCTTTGTTAGTGGAATATACCCATTTTCTAGTGCCTTTATCCTCCGGCTAACTCACCTCGACAAGGGACGAAAATCCCTCAGTCACACATAAGCGGCGATGCAATATGTGTAGAAAGAGTCAATTGAACTTTCTTGTACACAAACAAAACAAGACTCTAGAATTAATACCAAAACAAAGCAATATACAAAGGCGATCACAAACACTTGCGAACAGAAATGAAAGGATTCTGAAAAATGGCGCGAAATCCAAGCCTCGTCTTCAGAACTTGTGGTCAGCGGATTCAAATTGTATTAAGTAAGTCTCCCGAAAATAACCAACATCGAACCAGCGATCCATCGAACCATCGAACCAGCCGTTGATCCATCGAACCAAAGATCCATCGAACCAGCGAACCACTGAACCACCAATCCTTCTCTGTTTTTGTTTAGTCAGATGTGGCTCACAGATAAAGATATACAAAAACAGATAAAAAATTTTTCAGTATGTTTGAGCTATTTACTAGGTTATCAATGCGCCAATAAGCCTCACAGTAACGTTTGAATTTTAGACGGTAAGTCTCTTAAAAAGTAAATTATGAAAAAGATTCTCCTTCAATGTTTTTATGTTTTTATAATCCTTCAATTCAATGTTTTTTACTTACGTAATACGAAAAATTTGTCAACACTGAAAGTCAAATGATTCGTGAAATAACGAACGGGAATTTCAGGAATTGTATACACCCTACGTTTATGGGGAGTTCTGAAGTAAATGGATGTAAATGACATTCCCGATTTTGTTTCCTCAGTATGCGAAAAGTTCAATGGATTCCTCCACTAAAATACCTAAAAAAATTAAAACAGTTTCGCAGGTTATGCAAAAATCGAATACTACTGTTACGTTTTATTATATTTCAAACTCTGTTTTCAAAAGGAATTCTCACCTTTGTTAGTCCCACGTCCTTGCGTCCTACGTCCCTGCGTCCTACGTCCCCGAGTCCCACGTCGCCAAGTCCCCGAGTCTCACGTCCCCGAGTCTCACGTCCCCGAGTCTCACGTCCCCGAGTCTCACGTCCCCGAGTCTCACGTCCCCGAGTCTCACGTCCCCGAGTCTCACGTCACCGAGTCTCACGTCCCCGAGTCTCACGTCCCCGAGTCTCACGTCCCCGAGTCTCACGTCCCCGAGTCTCACGTCCCCGAGTCTCACGTCCCCGAGTCTCACGTCCCCGAGTCTCACGTCCCCGAGTCTCACGTCCCCGAGTCTCACGTCCCCGAGTCTCACGTCCCCGAGTCTCACGTCCCCGAGTCTCACGTCCCCAAGTCCCAGTCCCACGTCCCAGTCCCACGTCCCCGTCCCACTTTTAGTCACAGCCATCATATTTAGAATACTGTAATAATAGCGAACTGTGTATTGAATGTAGCCCTTGAAAAAATAATGTGCGATCACACGCCCCTTCTATCTGTCGAAGACTAACATGACTTTAGTCTACAATCTTGAGGAAAGAGGGTCTCAGTGGGGTCAACCATTAGCCGTAAAACGGTATAAATTTGTTGAGCCTTTAGACGTAAAATTAACAAAATTTAGCGGTTAGACGGAAAAAACAGTGAACTTTAAAATTTTCCTTCGCAACGGAAAGAAATAAACCGTTAGCCTTAAAATGTCCACAATTTTAACCGTTCGCGGTGAAAACCAACGCCCTAGTGAGTGCCTCAGTAAGAGCCGTGAACTTTCTTTGAAGCGCTCCCACAAGAAGTCGTTGATTGATCTGAAAAACAATACAAAACAAAAGGGAAATCAAATTCCTGAAGGTATTGCGTGACAAGAGCTTACGTTGGGTTAATAGACTGCTAAAGTTTCGAATGCCTGAACTTGGCGATATTAGACCTTTTTACAGTTCCCAGCGCCATATTGGAAATGCAACCGCGCACACGTGAGAACAAGGCTGGGGTTGACTCGTGTTATATCTCTGTGAGCGCATTAATACTTAGGCAGCAAAATTGTTCGATTTTTAAGGAAAATGGATGGTCCTAGCCGAAATCTCGATAAAGCTAATTCTTCTCCCAAAAAGAAAGAAGAGTAGTGTGCCGCTTTTGGTTGTTCAAATACATTTTATGGCCCCAATGGTTTGCCTACGAGCTTTCACTTCAAGTTTATGCACGGAGGCATGTATTTTTGCTAAGTATTATCATTCTGTACTTATCTTATTCTCTGTGAATTATGGATGAGGGTGACTATTGTTGCAAAATTAGTACAAATTTTCAATTAGGTACCTGAATTGTTTTAAGTTCGATAGAGTTTATTTTCATTGCGGCAGTAAGTCATTAAGTTAAGTACTGCTCACCTGTTTACTACATGGCTTGCCTAAAACACTCCTAGCCGAGAAACTCTTGGAAAGTTATTGCTTTTAACAAAGTAACCAAGACATCAGAGTTTTCACTGATTATGGCAGACCCAGAAAACTAACACAAATTCGGTAGCAATTGTGACAAAAGCAGTTTTCAGTAGTTGTTGTTTTTGTTTCTTATGATAGCATAGTAATCCACTATGGATGCTACATGGAACTCTCAAAAAATATTTTGTGTGCTTTGTGTATCAATCAATTTGTTGCTTCAAATTGGAAAAAAGAAAAAGTGGTTTCACCAACTAAAAGAGTTCTCAACACAAAGATGAACTGACACTAAATTTTATTATTCACAAAATTGTCCTCATAATAAGAAGTTTGATAGAAGTCTCGCGAAAAATAATTTCTCATACAATTCGATGATCTGAAAGATTCTCTTTCAAACAAATCTTATGGTAACTGTAAAAGTATAAAATAAATAACTTGATTTGGATATATTTCTCAATCTTTTAAGTATCTCAAAATTATATTATCATAATATTGGTTAAACACAAGGCAATAAGAATTAGTATAGCAAACCTTTGTGTCAGAAGGCCTCTGAGTGCTAAGAATGGGAATATCAATTCATTGAATGTTTATCACTGACAGAAACTTAAATGTGTGTAAAGGACTAGCATTGCTGAGATCAGTGGCTGAGAGGAAGCATTTCTGCTCTCTTCCTTTAACCCTTAAATACCCAAGATCTGATTGTCAATTCTCCCTTCTAGTTGCTACACATTTACTTGTAAATAAGTTATGAGAATTTGATGTAAGATCAAGATAACTTCTGCCTGATAAGCTTCAGTATTATCATTATCTGTTTGCTGGATAGTGTTTGGATATTATATTGAGAAGTTACATGAATCAGTCACTTTTGGGAGTTTTTAAATTGTCTAATATTTTGGTCTGATTCTTTCAATGCTGTCTTGTCACCTAATAAATTACCATGAGTTGCGAACTCAAATGGTTTTCAATGTATCACGAGCATAAGTTGTCCTGGGCCAGATGGGTTTCAAAATATTATGACATCTGTTAGTTACAGTTTCCCTCATGGGTTGATAGAAAGAAGGTTATAATCAAGTGGCTGTACAGGCTCTATTGTATAGTTTCCCATAAGATACAATGTACAAATGGCAAACTAAAATACATCTTGGTAAACAAAATGGGAATAACCTTAATTGAAGAATATGGTACAAGAACAAGTACCACATCAACAACAGCAGCAAAAACAAATCTCCTCTACCTAGAGGGCTACAGCCTTTGCCTTCATTTCTAAGCCATACT